TATCCCCCTTTTTGTTTACTTTTGTCAGAGATGGGTATTCCATTGCCATTCATACAATGTAGGTGCATGAATTCAGCAAAGTAATCCAATATAGTCCAGTAGTCTATAATAGTGGGTTATCCACATGACTGGCAATGTCAGATGTTCTTGACTTGAGCCTTTTACAGCTCATCTTATTAATATGACTTTACTTTTTATACCTTGTGTTTATACCTTTCTGCTGGATGATTAAGACCAAGATAAAGCAAGACCTGTATAACAAAAAATGTGATTTTTGTATCTGACAAGGTCAGTCAAATCCCCTCAGGATTTACCCTGAAACCCTATCCATCAGTTTGTAGATTTTTTTGTCAGTGTCAGCCATGTGGATGAGTCAGGGCCATTACTTGCCCAATTTGCTCTCTGTGAGAGCCTGAGAGAGTGTTTTGACTCTACTTAGCCACACTCTACATCATCAGTTACTTTCCTCTGTGGCCCCACAATCTCCTTGCTCAGAAAATTTGGGACACCACTGAGTTACAGGATGTTACAGAACAGATTCTCTTATGCCCTGAGTCCTCACTGACCTTGGAGGGGTAGGGCCACAAGTTGGCTATCCCTGTAGCCCTTCTTTTTCTCTAATTTTTTGGTCTGCAAACTTAAATTGTTAACCCTCCAAAAGAGAATCTAAATAGTTTATGGATACATTTTAGTCAACAATATAAAAAGTGTTAGAAAGCTGAATTCCTAAGAAGCAACTATTCTGCAATGAAAAAATCACAAAAATCTCAATTTAGAAATATATGCATTGTGTGCATTGCATTCCTCCAAGCTGATGAAATTGTAGGTGCTTATAACAACATATAAAGTTGCATTTGCCAATGAAGTCATTGAATAGTTGGAAGGTCATTACAAGCACCATAGAGAGAGGCAGTGTGTTGCTGTTCAGTGACTGTCATTGTGCATATCGCTTTGTGGTTCCTGTATTTGAATGCCTGAGGAATGAATCTCCACAGGCTCCAGGCAATGTAGAAGCCTGGTACAGAAATTGGGGAAATTTGACAGGAAATGCTCACATAGGTGTATATGGTGCATAGCAGAATTCCAAAAGGAGTGGCAACTTTTAGAAATCCATGGAAAATTACACTCTGAGAACACCCTTTATAGAAAAACTTTGCACTGTCCTCAGGTTCTACACTGAATGGAGGCAAGGGAAAGACAAAGAGAGAGTATTCTGCATTTGAGTCGCTCTGTGATGACCAATGTTCTCTGTAGAACAACAGGCCAAAAACGCATGGCTTTTAGCTGAATCAATTAGACAGGTAGGTGCAGCTCACAGCACTGTCCTAGGGCAAGCTTCTTTGCTGGCATTAGCTGTAAAGAGAAACAGCAACTTTGTATCAGGCACAGAGGCTCCCCAGTTACCAATGCAACACAAGGTTTGGTGCATTCAAGGCTAGTACTTTTACTGCCAATGGTGTATTATTCTTATTGAGTCCTGAGGCCTCAGCTGGGATGTCATCTTGTGGTGTAGCCCTGGAATCTCACAGGCTCTGGTTTGAGCCCCTATTGCAGGCACAGGGAGGCAAAGCTCACCAGAGTGCTGTGATGAGTAAAGTCCATGTCTTGCCTGACTCAGTTACAATCTTTTAGCCAATGCAGGGCCCATCTGGTTCACGATCTGCAGTTCTGCGTATCTTAATGAATAGGGTTAAGCTCAGGAAAGGATGGAGGCAAGAGGCTTCCTTTCCTTGGAGAGCTCAGCTTCATTGTCTCCCACAACCCTTGACCTAAAAGAGGAAAAGCAACTGTTCATCACAATAAAATGCTTGAAGATATATTTTCATAAATATAGCTCAACAAAAGCACATTAATGCAGCATTGACTTTGCATGAAAGCAATTTATGCATAAAAACATTAAAACTTTCTTCCCAAAACGAAGACCATAATGAAGAGATATCCTTTTGTACATGTCTACTTGGAATGCATGCAACATGTGCAAATTAGACAACTTGGCTGCATTTTCTCTTCCCTAGTGCTGCAGATTGAGTCCAGGGTTAGACTCATACTAGGCAGATGCTTGACCATGGAACTACACCTTCCGACTTTTTAAAACTTTTTTTTTCTTTTGCTGAACCGGGGATTGAACTCAGGCCCTCGTGTTTGCTAGGGAAGTGCTTATTTCACTGAGCTATCTCCCCGGTCCTCTTCCAATTTTTTAAAACTTTTGTTAGAATCATAATTTTGATAAATTGCCCAGGCTGGACTCAAATTTGTGATTGTACACAAGCATCCATCCCAGTAACTGGGATGATAGGCATGGGCTTCCTGACCCTTAGACTCAGCCAATTTTACATGCAGTGATGAACCACACAGTGCCTTTTGATTCATATTATCTTAAGATTTAGGGGTCTGGAAAATGACTCAATAGAATAAGTGCTTGCCTGGCAAGCACAAGGGCCTGAGTTCAAAACCCTGGTTCCACCAAAAAAAAAAACAAAAAAAAAAGGTTTAGGTTCCGCTCTAACCTTTTCAGAAAACTATGGTGATAAGCCAGGTGCACACTATTGCAAATCAAAATCCGCATTTATATATTCCAGTTGATGATTTATTTTTTCACAGATATGATCTGTTGGTTCATTATTGTTATACTCATGTGATGGTCAGTAGCATTCTTGAGTGCGCTTGGAGGAATGTTATCATTTGCTAAATGCAACTGTAAATGGCCATTGACATGCTGTGTACAATTTTTATTTCTGAAATAAACCATTTAGGAAATGTGTAAACAATAGTGCTTTTAAGGAACTCATTTGTTTCCAGGGTTGTATAATCAGGACCTTAATCATTTGTGATGTCAGGCTTGAGACAACTTCATCATTGAGGAGCACGGTACTCAGAATCAGGGCTCGGTCTGCAGCCTGCAAAGAAGACGCAGCCCTACTGCCGACCAACTACGGACTGAACCCTCTACAAAGTAGGAGATAAAATAAACCTTTCCTCATTTACCTCGAGGGTCTTGTGTATTTTGCCCCAGAAACAAGAGAAGTAACGATGACACACAATCATGTAGAAGAAAGGAAAACACTATTTATTAGTATGGTGGGAGGGAGAGAGGGAAGGGAAGGCGAGGGGAGGGGAGGGGACAGGAGGGGAAGGGCCTGGAGAGATAGGTTAGAGGCTTAAGCAGCTATTTGACAAGAACAAGGACATGAGTTCACTCTGGGTCCCACAGGCCGAGCAGTCTCAGCATGCGATGCATCTCGGTCCCCGATACGGGCGCCCACTGTGTGGCCCTAGAACTGGGTGCTGTGACACATGCCCATAATCCCAGCACATGGGATGTTGAGCCAGGAGGATCTCTGAGAGTTTGAGGCCTGGGAGCTACGAAAGCGAGCACAAGGCTAGCCCGAACTGTATAGTGAGACCCTGTCTCAAAAAAAAGAAAAAAAGGGAAGGAGGGAAGGAAGGAAGGCAGGAAGGAAGGAAGGAAGGAAGGAAGGTAGACATGAGTCTGTTTCTCAAGGTGTTTTAGACATTTGTCAAAATAAGAACATGAAAAAATCAATTAAAAGAGCTAGCTCACAGAAGGTATCCATATGATGGATAATTATGTGGCAAGACTGACAAAGAAAAAAAGAGAGCACATGTACACTACCAATGAGAGGAACAAAACAGAGAAAATCACTTAGCAGTGCAGACCTCTCAAAGTCAAGGGAATGCTGTCAGCGGCTCAGGCTCAAACTGTTACATGCAATGAAACACTTCCTCCAACCCAAACAGCCCCAACTCGTATAATATCAAATAAATACTTGAAAGAACCCTATAAATCCTGAGAAAATTCAATTTGTCACTTAACAACTTCCAAAGTAGAAGTACCTAGGAATAAATGTTTTCATTAAAGATGTGTTCCAAGCTGTAAAAAGTAAAAAGGGACTATTACGTTTCAATTAAAAGCAAAAAAGGAGAAGAAAGAGAAAGATGAGGAAAAGAAAGACACCAATTCTACATGGTGCTTTCCTAAACAAAACTAATACTTCCCAT